AGCGGCCTGAAGGGGAAGACCGGCGACGCGAGGAGCGTGAGCGCGAGGACGACCTCGATCGGCAGTCGCAGGCGTCCACATACCACGAACGGCCGAAGGTCGACAAGCCGCACATCACGCTGTCCACGTTCACAGGTAGCGATCCGGACGCATGGCTCCACAGGGCAGTCCAATATTTTGAGCTTAATGAAACTGACGGCCCGAATCGCGTGAGATACACAGCTTATTATCTCGATGGTGAGGCCAACGTCTGGTGGCAATGGCTCACAAGGATCTATCGCAAGCGACAGCAAATTATTACTTGGGATATTTTTTAGAAAGAGTTGCTTACGCGATTTGGTACATCCGATTATCATAACTACAATGAGGCTCTTACGCGCATACAGCAAACAGGCAGCCTACGCGAATATATTAAGGAGTTCGAACGATTAGCTTGCCGCGTGCGCGATTGGCCGGAAGATGCCCTGGTTGGCGCGTTCATTGGCGGGTTGAAATTTGACCTGGCCGCTGAAGTGCGAATCGAGAGGCCCGACACCATGCATGAGGCGATGGAAGTGGCACGACGTCGGGAAGATCACCTGGTCGCCACGCGAAGGGGACGGGCGGACGTGCGATTCACGGATACGCATCGCACGGGACCTAACCCAGCCACGGCCAGCACATGTCCGAACAATAATATTCGGCCAGCGTGGTCGATAGTAAGGCGGCTGTCTCCCGAGGAGGTCAAGCGGCGACGTGAGAAGGGTCTTTGTTTTAAGTGCGAGGAGAAGTTCACTCCGGGGCATCAGTGCAAGCAAGCCTTTGTCATTGAGGTAGCCAACCCGGATGATAAGGAGGATGAGGTCGAGGAAGAACCGCCTCAGGAGGACGAGATTGAGGTCTTTAGTGAGGAGCCCGAAATTTCAATGGATGCAATGGCAGGAATCAGAGGGCCCAGGACAATGCGATTACCCGCATGGGTCAAGGATCGGAGAGTAATGGTGCTCGTAGACAATGGTTCCTCACATAATTTCATCAATGTTGACTTATCGCAAAAGTTGAGATTGCCAACCACAAAAATCGAGCCTTTTGAGGTACGAGTAGCCAATGGAGAGAGGTTACAATGCTCTGAGTCTTTTCGGAAGGTGCCAATCAAGTTCCAAGGAGTCACGGTAAAAGCTGATCTGTATGCTTTACCATTAGTTGGACCAGATGTCGTGCTGGGAGTCCAGTGGCTCGAAGGATTAGGCAAGGTGACGACCGACTATCGAACTGGAGTTATGGAGTTCAACTCCGAAGGTCGTCTAGTCACCCTAAGTGCCGACACTGATAAAGAAACCAAGGAAGTAGGGCTGAAAAATATTGAAAGAGTTTGGCGAG